TCAAGGTATTCAAACTACTCAGAAACATCAACATATGAAGTCATTTCTTTTAGATAATTCTAAATTGCAATATAAAATGTTTATTTTTTTATACTGAAGTCTATTTTGCCTAAAAGGCTACTAAGCAGGTACTGGTTGGAGGGGTGTTAAACGAGTTGCATTAGCATAACCCAAATTTACCCCTAAACATCTCTCTCCCCCTTTAGATGTCCTATTAATTTTACTTTGTTCCTGTAGTGAGACACTTTTTTTTAGCTCCATGTGATGTCATACCCAGCAGACTTCTAGAATTCTTGCAGGGGTATTGCCCGGAACCTACCAATGTAACCACAAGACCAGAGCTACATCTCCCAAGAGTCCTTTCCCTATGCACAGTGTATGGGCAGGACATTGGAATTTTAAGCAGCAGCATTGTTTCAGTACAAAATAAATTCATATCCAGCTTTTAAAGTAAGGTACACATGGAAGGACTTTACCCAATACAAAAACAAACGTTTCCCAGCACACTTACCAGGTAGCCTGCAAGCAAAATGAGTGAATTTGCCATTTGTTTCACTTGTTAGATTGTGCATTCAGGCAACCTTGACCTTTGAGCTCAGCTTGCATCGCTTTGGAAGTTTTCCTTGGTTTTTTTGTCTACCATTGGCTTCATCGTTCTTTTCAAACTGTAGTTGATTTTACCTTTGCAGTCACATCCAGGGTGGGTACACTCCCATGGACCCAATTTAGTTCTCTGGTTCCTGTTCTGCGTTGAACACACAATGATACCAAACAGCAGAGTAACTACTTTCTCCATTTAAATAGGCTGACATGATTGAAAACACACATGATACTAATTACTTGAAACAGTATGACACATCACTATATATATAATTCCATTATCTAAAAAAATGTTCAGGGGTACTGACAAATCTGTGCAGGACATTTTAGTGTATCTTTATAGAATAAGCAGTTCATCTCTTTTTATACTTTGCTTTACTATTGGACATATCAAACGCATGCAGGTTTACACGAGACAATTGCTTTTAATGTCATCACTTTTCAGTTGGAATGAAACATTGTTTTAATGAGCTGCAAGGGTATCTACACATTTGTTCATGTCTGTACAGTACATATACATAGTCTTAAAAATACTATACTTACTATACTGTTATACTATACTGTACTATACTGTATAGTATTTGTTACTGTTTGGTAACACTAAACACTTTGGTAACAGCACCTACAGTTACTGTTGGAGCTATACTGTTAAAGAAGAAGTCTTTCTTGAAGTTGCAAAGGCTTGTTAAATCCCCAGGGTACCCAATGCACATTTCAGTTGGTCCCATTCAAATCTGTGCAGGGGTTTTCAAATAAAACCCCTGCAGATTGAAGACCAGTTTATGGAAGGGGAATGGGGGAATGGGTGAATTACAGCCAGCACTGAATTCACCTCAGCCTCCTAATTCTGAAGCCCTCTGGCTCATTTGCCACCTACTTAGACCCCCCCCCAACACTCCTCTGAAAGCTGCCAGGTGGAGCATCTTCAGCTCTGCCATGCAGCCCTGCGTCATTTCTGCTCTTCTCTGCTGATTCTATAAAGTAACAGGAAATACTGAGCCTGGACCATTGCCAGCTATTCAGGAGATAGAAAGTGGAGTAGCAACTGTTAGCTTGTATTGTCATTGACTAGAGAAGGGTGCCATCATTCAGAGAAAAACACAAGCATGCAACAACACAAGCAAGCTAATACAGCTGTCCAGGAGAGACTAGTGTAGCAACTGGCTTGTGTTGTTGTGGGCTTGTGTTTTTGTGAACTCCCACTGCCAGTCAGAAATGCCATATCCTTTGTCCAGAATTGTCAAGTAGTGGTGGCAGAAGGGACTGTGAACTAAATGACAATGCTGTTCAGCAACCCGTGAACAGTTAGAATGGGACCATGGGTGATGTGCACTGCATCCCTCGGAATGGGATGGAATGGGGCGGGGGTGTAGTTGGTTAAGAAGTTTCTTCATCTTCTGTCAAGACTGCATCTTTAAGGGGATGCAGCTATTTGTGATACTTTTTTAGAATGTAGATAGGCAGGAATGATTCTCAAGCAGACAGCCCAGCCCTTGCACCAGTGCTGCTGAATCTTTACAAGTGTGAAGCATAGGGATTTACACAATGCAGATGGTCAATGCAACGCTTTTGTCTAAAGCTATTTTTTGCTTTGCATAGCCTACATACTTAAGACATTTGCAGAAATGAAAAATTTTTGCAGGTTTTAACAAATTCAAGGTGAAAGTTTAAATACTAGCTACATTCTGCTGCCTATGTTCACATTCAGCAGTTTGTTCAGCCTTCCCTGTATCTAAAACAGTTTTTTCCCTTCCAGACAAAGAACTAAGAAAATTGTCGATGTAGCCTTATTCAATATAAAGGGTTATGGCACGCTTAGCATATGTAGTTTTACAAATTCACACTCTGTTTAGATCTATTTAAAAAACAAAACAGTAATTCCTATTTTTAAGGAAAGAACACCACTTCTGTGAAAGACTATAGGTTGAGTTGATATGTTGGTGCTATATAAATCCTGTATTATAATAATAATAATAATAATAATAATATAAACTAGATATAAGTAAAATGGTCTCATAATGCGTACACTGCAAATTTAAAAAAGAACAGTTTTCTGTTTTATAACTCATCCAGAAGAAAAAAAAAGTGCTTTCCTTTTTTTTTTATCTACAAAGGGACATTGCTTTTTTAGGTTTTTGTAATTAAGGGGTTTTAATCAGGAGGGCAAGAGGAGCACTTCACATTTAAACCAATGTTTAAACCAATGTTAAACCAACTCTTCTATGATGTTAAACATTAGAACAGTACGTACAATCTGCATCACCCATATTGATATTGTCTACATTTGTCCTCAAATGAACTTTATTATGGACTCAATGATTTTCAGTTTCGCCCCTGGCACAGGGTCACATAACTGTGGCACAGGTGGCATGTTAACACACTGGGCTGATTTGCTAAATTAGTTTAGAATCTTCACACAAAAATTGTGTAAATATTCACTACAATTATCCAATCATGTGAAAAGCAAATTTCTGTTTACTCATTTCATCTGCAATTGACTGAATAATTGAAGTGAATATTCACACAATGTGTGTCTGTTTATTCTTAACCTCTTTAGTTTATCAACCTAAACGATTAGTAAACTATTTTTTTTTAAAGAAACCTTACCAATATGGCTCTAAATTGCTGCCCTGTTTTAAAATGACCAATTTTGTTAACTACTGTGGAAAGGTTTCAATTATTTCTTTGTAGACAGGAATCTTAGCTTGTTGCTCTATTTTTGTATGACCCACTTTGTGAATTAAGGTGCTTACATTTATCTGGAGTTTTTTGTCTACGATCGTGTTTTCGTCTGAAAATTGGCCAGTTGATGGGAAGTGCACAACCTCAATTACTGTACAACTGGCAGATTTTTGTATTTCAAGCAGGCTAGAAATGGGTTTGTGGCGTGGAACAACAAAAATCTCAAGATGAAAACTGCACATGCTCAAACGAAAACTTGTTCTTTCAATCAATGAAAATCAGCCAGTGAGTGGTGCTGACAAACCTTAAATGTGAACCACATTGGTCTGTGCATGATGGGCTAGTTGAATGAAAATTGAACGAGGTTGAGATGTCTGAACAAAGAAAGTTGTACAATGGTTGTAAGGTGTATGGCCTCCTTTAGCCTGTAACAATGTCAGTTATTTGCATTGTGATATGGAACTGCTACTAGGTTGCTACTCGGTTTTGGTATGATACTACCTGCGAACTCCTTTGGAATGTTGTCAGTTCTTTCTTTTGTAAATAGAAGCCCCGACTTGCTGCATTGTTTTGGTTAGTATGTCCCACTGTATGAGCACTTCTGGAAAGGTGTAAATCCCTTATGGTAGCTGGACAAAAAGGTCACAGCTTTTTTCTCAACTGCATTATGTATACCCAGTAACCCTATAGATTATTGGGTATACAGACTGGCCCAAACTGGCCATGTCTGCCTTACAAAAAAAAAGTAACTTTTACATACAATCAATTATCAATTGATGATTGAAAAAAGCTCATCTTCATTTATTCCCTACGCTAAATTAATGTTATCTTTGCTAAAGGAAATTTCACTTAGCTTAGTGAATGAACTGAAATTGTACTGACTTCAATCATCCAATCACATGCAAGCAAAAATCCTGTTGCTTTTTTAAAATTCCTAAACATGATTGGGTATTCTGTGCAAAAGGAATTTTCCCTTTGTTTCACCTCATTTACTAAAATAAGTGTACATTCTCTTTAAAAGGGAGCATTCTGATTTTACTTTAGCAAATCAGGATTACTATAATTATATAATTATTTTTATGAACGCCTCACATATAAATAGCCCCAAAGTGTATTTTCATTTGTCTTCATCATAATTCTAAATAGAATTGCATTTCAAAAGAAGTACATACATTAATTTCACATCCTTTACGACGTTTCAAGATTTTTAGAAATTTCTATCTATGAATTTTAGAACCATGCAAATATTTTAAACCAGTTAAATATATGTACTTTATACAGACAGACAAGATTAATTTCTGCACATTTTATAGTATGAGTGGGGGTAGTGATGGTGTTAAGTAAACTTCAGTTGCAAGTCTGCTAGGGATTTCTATTTTCCAAGTTGTTCCCTTACAGTACAGTGTCCTCTTTCATTCTTACCTTTCCTCTGCCTGTGTCTGAAACCACTTTTATAGCATAAACGTTTTAGCTGTTCTACTATTATTTCCAGTTGCTCTTGTGAAATCTTAGTAAACGAATGAATTTTTTTTCTTTCCCGTTTGAAGTGAAAACTACTTCTTCCTTTACCTGGAAGCTATGTCTGGATTTGTGGTTTTGCTGTTTACCCACTGTCATACAAGGCTGCCAGAATGTTTTCATTTCTAAGCCATATAAATTCACAGTTAATCATTGGCTGTATTTAGGGCTCACTCCTGGAATTTTCTTTTTCCTTTCAGTTGAAAGAGACAAGGACTTTTCACACCAACGACGGCACTATAAGGAATTCCGATTTGACCTCACTCAAATCCCACGTGGGGAAGCCGTCACAGCAGCAGAATTCCGCATCTACAAGGATCGAAGCAACAATCGCTTTGGGAATGAAACTTTAAAGATTAGTATTTATCAGATCATCAAGGAAAATTCAAATAGGTAGTATGTTAATACATTTTTTATATGTGTATAATAGCCAAAGTGAAAGATAAAAATGTATAAAGTGCATGTAAAGAGAAGTATATAAATGTTAACAAAAACATCACATCTGTGTGTTGATGTAACTAACACATTTCTTAAAGATAAACATATATATTGTATAATTATTGAATTAATTCTAATGTCAATGGTTGTCCATCAATCTAGGCTTTTACAAGATGTGGCTGTCAGTTTGAAGTATGAGGAGACAATTAGTCATTGTTCTGGGTGGCAGTCCAGGGTAGGTGAAGCAATTTGTGCTAGTAAGGGTTTGTAGTTGGTTATCATGCTGGAGAAGGTAAGAGGGGGTACAACATGCAACATGCAAGTATCAATTCGGGAGAATAATGGGTGCCTGTCAGTGTAGGTGACCATTTGTCTGGCGATTGTGAAGATGTGGCTGTCCTTGGGTGGTGTGACAGTAACTGTCAATCTAATGCTGGGCACACACCTTACAACCATGGCAAGACTTTTGTCTTGCCATGGTTGTAAGGTAATTAAAAACATTTACGATCTGCCTATCTTGGACAGGCAGATCGTACTTGCGATGATCACAAGCCCACCCCGCTGAGGGGCAGGCTTTCCGATGACCGCAATGCTGAACGGGCAGTGTGGCATTTATCTTATGAACATGCCACACACCCGTCGACAATCGTACGATTCTCGTCGGGTTTTTTGAACATGTTCCAAAGATAAAAGTCGTGCGACCTTACAGTAGCAGAGGTCGCACGCCTTCCACACACCTTGCGATAATCGTATGATCGCGGGATTTCCTGCGATTATCGTACGATTATCGCAAGGTGTGTGGGCACCTTAAAGGGAGTGTAGGTGGCTGTCATTCCATGTAAGAAGCAGTGGGATTAGACTTTAATTCGGGTGGGGCTAACTGCAGCTGCATGTATGTCAGTCATGGTGGAGTGGTTGTGCAGCTGGCCATCATTTAGCTGTATTCCATTTTGGTTTAAACAATAAGATTGTGATGCAGAGATTCATATAATTAAAATAATTATTTGGTTAGAATGTACAAGTGTGAACATGTTTTCCAGATTGCACAGAGTATATAAATATATTAATTACATATTTGATGTAGGGAAAGTGGTCCGGAAAATAGCCATTTTGTACCTACATACGGGTTTATCATGGCATGGGGTGGAATGCAGATATGGCTAAAATTAGGGATGCACGATACTCGAGTACGAGTTCCGATATTTATATTTCGATACTCACCAGTACAGAGTATCGGTACTTCCGGTAGCATGGAGCTGGCTTCCCTGGCAATCAGGAAGCCAGGTAGCATGTCATTACCCACTGCTTGGTTTCTTGATTGCTCAGGAAGCCAGCTCCATGCTGTTTTGCCGGCTCACTGCTGATTGGCCAGGAAGCCAGCTTACCAGCCAATCAGCATCAAGCCGGCCACACAAATCTGATAATATGGTGAAGCAACCTCCACCTTGCAGACACCCTATTCCCCTCACATTACACCCATATCCATGATCAGGAGCAGTCATCACTGTACCACAGATGTCCCTCGGCCAGCCGGGCAGACACTGCTCTCCAAGCCGCTTTACCTCTCCTGAATCTGCCAACATCTGAGTCTCATGAGATGTACAAATGCCGCCTGACTCCGGTGTGTACAGTGCCTGCATCGCCTGCGTGTTCCCTCATGGCACTGCCTGTCAGAGGAAATCTCCCTCTGACCGGAAGTTTTGCCATCGGGGAAAGTATCAGAGCATTTGGGCAAGTACGAGTACTTGCCCAAATACTCGGTATCGGCACCGATACTGATACTTGTATCGGTATCAGTGCATCTCTAGCTACAATATTAGATATTGTAAGCTAAATGCTCTGTAAGGTGGAATGTAGGACACACTGTCCCTGTGGTTATATAATTCTTCTCCACCATGGCAGCTTGTTCTGTAATCTGGAATGGCCAGAGTGGTTGTAACATTCAGTTCTACCATAGTAAGAGGTATGAGCATTCAATTGGCTTCAGGGCATTACAACCACACTAACCACGTGTGCTTTTAGGTGAAATGCAGAGTGCTGTGATGTATTGATGCACTAAGTGGGATACTCTGGATTCATACTTACATACATGCATACATACATGCATACATACTCTGGATTCTGAAGGCAGTGTGTAAGGTAGACTTTCTTACAGGTAAATTACAAAGTTTCTGTTCATGTTCAATGTGCCAATGCTGTTACAGCACAAGCACAATAACAGTGAATACTCAATTTGGCTCAGCAATGCAGCAGAGTTTTCTTATCCCCTCTCAGCGCCCACAGCAGCACCACAGAGCCAGTCCACGAAACATCTGGGTTAGGGCTTTTGGGAGTTTTTGAATATTAGGAGGTGCCTATGTAAACCAGAAATGACATAGGGTGCTTGCAAATTCTCACTTCACAGCTGGTATTACAAAATTAAGATTTGGGACCCTGTAATGACATAGTGGGGGCAGAAAAGAAAACTATCTATTGAATGGGGAAAACTAAGAGAAAAATTCTTGCCAGGGTAATGCTCATCAAAGGAGGAGGGACGCATGAGGTACATTTTAGGTTTACTAGGGGATAACCTTAATTTAGTCTAAGATGTCAACTAACAAAAAGCAGTAGTCTTTCCAGGAAAGTTGTATTGTTCTCATTTATATTTTTATGTGCTAGTATGGGTGCATCTTTGTAAATGTAAATAGCTGTTTCATCTACAGTAAGTAATGCTTTGTTTCAGGTTTACTGGTCATTGCAAGCCTTTATACCATTCTTCTATGTGATAGCTTTGCAAGTCTGCACTTTTCAAACCACAGGCTATCCTTTCCTTTGCTTTCTGTTCTTGTTCAAGTCATTTCTATATGGTTTTCTTTTTTTGTATTCAGGTCAAAAGTTTAAATATTTTAGGTAACAGGAGTATATACTTGGAGCGATCTTGAGTAAACTAAGAATTCAATCCCAGCTTCTGTTTGACTTTTCAATTGCTACTTTGGATTAAGTGGTTGGCTTAAGACCAGATAAAGTTTTATTCTGCAGCACCCACAAGTTTTATTTTTAGGCAGGCATAGTTACAACAAAAGCAGTTTATCATGGCAGCCACTGCTATATTAAATGTGTTACACATAGATGCCAATGAGATTTCACTTTCTAAGCTACTGGAAGAATGTAAGGGAGAAAATGTTTACTATGGGAAGCATAGACAGTTCTTATGGGTGCTTATGAGGCTTTTTTTTTTACCATTGTGCACTTTAACTCCAATCCAAGGATTTAAGACTTATTTGCTAACCGGGTTTGAAAGAGTATTTTTCCAAGGTTCAGATTTATATTTATGGTCTGTAATTTCATAGTCATTACTGACTTCTAAAATGATAAAAATACTAACTATAATTATTAGTGTTTTTGGTAAGCCTTAATATATTGGGGTCTATTCACTAAGCTGCCGAAGGATTTAGGCGTAGCTTCGGCTGATCCTTTGGCTAGCTTTGGCCCCAGGAGCCCTTCGGTTCAGTAAAACCAAAGGGCTGCTGTACGGGCTATTCACTATAGCCCGTACAGCTCCCGAAGTCGGCAGAGGGGCTCAGTCGAGCTGAAGGCATATGCTTCGGCTCGACTGACCTGAGGTAAAAGCCGAAGCTGGCCGAACAGCCTGCTACTGACTGCTGGCTCCGGCCACTTGCACAGACAAATCAGCGTCCCTGGTTACCAGGTAACCAGGGACGCTGATCTCCAGACAGCCCAACTCTCCTGGATGCTCTGGGAGTCTCCCGCTATTAGATAGCGGCTCCCGCCCGCCTGGGAGAGAAACACTTTCTCTGGGAAAGTTTTACCCTGCTGTCTTTTTTTTCTTCTTCTGACATCGGAGCAACAGAGGTACCTGGCAGAATAGCCGAGCCGAATGCCGCTCGGCGGCATTTGGCTATTCACTCACTGCTGTTCGGCATCTATGAGAATAGGCCGAACAGCAGCAAGTAGCCTGCTGGAGGTTCGGCTCAGCCGATCCAGATGTTGGATCGGCTGAGTCGAACTCCTTCTGCACTTCGGGTCGGCCGAACATGCTGAGCATGTTCGGCCGACCCGAAGCCACGCGAAGCAAGCCACACGGCCGACCCGAAACCACACGAAGTGAATAACCGGGTCGGTTATTCACTCAGCTGCCTACGGCCCCATATCTAATCTGTAATTAAGCAGTAGAGATCAGTGAATCGGTCTGTGTTTGATTCGTTGAGGGTTAAGTGAATCCTGTTTAAAATTCAGTGAACCTGAACTTAGCGGTGAATCTCATTAAAGACCATGTGAGGCAAATCTAGTTAGTAGATTCTGGCCATGTTCAGGGCAAATAGGCAAACTAATTTAAAAAAGGCATGGGAAGCTGGACACTGCCATGTGGGATATGCATCAATGCAATAAATGCTTGAATACCGTATATTACTATTTAGGTGACTATGAAAGCAACATTGAAAATACACAATTCCTGTAAATGACATGCTTGGGGAATTCCCTAAAGCTGTAAGTGATGTAAAAGGAGAACTATGAGGTGAGTGCTTTTCACTCACCTCATAGTTCTAGCCGACCTGTGACAATGAGACACAATGTCACAGGTCGGCTTAGTAGACTGGGAGGTGAGCCAACACATACCGTGACAGGGGAGGGGCTGGATTCCCCGCTCCAATCCGCCAGCGCTGACTGGCGGAACAGACAGGGAGGGGGTGGGTACAGCTGGCTCTGCCTCTAGATAGGCAGAGCCAGCTGTCAGTCACGCAGCTGGGCGGATCCAGACATAATTGTCGGGATCCGCTTCAGCTGCGGCGTCTCAGTATACCACGAGCAGCAGCTAGCAGTATACTGCGGCGTCTCAGTATACCGCGAGCTACAGCTTGCGGTATACTGAACCTAGGGTGACGGGAAGACGCTAGTTTGTGTCCTCCCGTTACCCTAAGGAGAACTATGGGGAAAAGCCTTAACCCCATAGTTCT